GAAGAGACTGGACAATCACCTGTCTGAGACAGTATAGGTCAGTGGTTCTCAACCTTTTTAATGCCATGACCCCCAACTGGTCGCAAGTCGAGGACTAAACCGGTCGTAAGTCGAGGACTAAACCGGTCGTAAGTTGAGGACTACCCAACCGGTCGTAAGTCGAGGACTACCCAACCAGTTGTAAGTCGAGGACTTTCCCTGCCCGGGAGCGCCGCGCATGCATGGTTCTGCCCCCTGCGCCGGCCGAGGGGTAGCTGGCAAGCGGCAGAGACGGAGCAGGCCAACCACCAGCTGGCCCAGCTCAAGGGAGGTAAGGCACCCGCCGGAAAAGGGGAAAAAAATGGCGGACAGCCTTGCTTGGCGACCCCCGTGAAATGGTCGATCGACCCCAAATGGGGTCGTGACCCATAGGTTGAGAACCGCTGGTATAGGTTCTCCTACTTGAGCAGGAGGCTGGACTAGAAGAAATCCAAGCTCCTATTCTATTCTATTCTATTCTATTCTATTCTATTCTATTCTATTCTATTCTATTCTATTCTATTCTATTCTTTCTATTATTTATTCTCTCTTCTCTTCTATATTCTCTTCTCTCCTCTCCTCTCCTCTCTTCTATTTCTCTTCTCTTCTCCTCTTCTCTTCTCTTCTCTTCTCTTCTCTATTCTCTTCTCTTCTCTTCTCTTCTCTTCTCTTCTCTTCTATTCTCTTCTATTCTATATTCTATCCTATCTTCTCTTCTCTTCTCTTCTCTTCTCTTCTCTTCTCTTCTCTTCTCTTCTCTTCTCTTCTCTTCTCTTCTGTATTCCAGTGGTGGCGAACCTATGGCACGCATGTCAGAGGCGGCACCCGGAGCCCTCTCTGTGGGCACACGTGCCGTTGCCCCAGCCTTGCCTCCCCCCGCGACCCCCTCCTCACCAGCAGCCTCCCTGGCGGAGAGTTGCCCCTGAGCGTGGCCCACGCGGAGCAGCACAGCCAAGGACATGGCAGCCAGGCAGTGTAGACAAGACTCTGTCCTCACACCTCATCACGCACAGTAGATGCTGCGGGGCGCAGCTGCCATGGCAGTGCTGGGCTGCCCCGCCGATCTATGGCAGGCCCTGGAGGCGGTGAGTGGCCCTGTGGGCAGGTGGGGTGGGGGCGGGGCAGGGGCGGGGCAGGGGGGTGGAATGGGGCGGGGCCAGTTTTGGGGCACTTGGTCTCTAAAAGGTTCGCCATCACTATTCTATTCTATTCTATTCTATTCTATTCTATTCTATTCTATTCTATTCTATTCTATTCTTGTCAGAAGGTTGCAAAAGGGAATCACATAACCTCGGGACACTGCGACTGTCATAAATATGAGTCAGTTACCAAGCGTCGGAATTTTGATCACGTGAACATGGGGGGATGCTGCAATGGTCATAAGTGTAAAAAACGGTCATAAGTCACTTTTTTCAGTGCTGCTGTAACTTTGAACGGTCACTAAACGAACTGTAGTGAAGTCGAGGACCACCAGTTTAAATGAACGTTTGCAATGGGGTTTTGTAGAACACACTCGGTTTTTAATCTGGTTCTCTGCTTTCCAGATGTGTTGGAACCACTAACATTCCCAGGTAGTGTGGCCAAGTTGGCGAAGACTGGATCGCTCAGCCAATTAATCAACCCACGTCTGTATGATTAATCAGCCGAAATGGGATGACACTGCCTTAATTGCAACAGATGATTCTGATAGCTTTGATCTTTCTCCTAGCGCCTTTTTAATACAACATCGATAAGCCAAAATATGTTATCCAGATGTGCTTGAAAAATTGCTTGCAAGATAAAATGGCACTTCCAGAAATTATTGGCTTCCTGGACCTCCAACACTTTTCATCTGGGGCAGAGGCTGGAAAAATGGGGGTCCAGCCTCCCTTCCCAATACGGAGGAGATTATTCGGGAAAACCTGGAGAGATGGTGGGGGAGGCTGCCCATGGAATAAGAGAATAACAAAATACAGGTAGTCCTCGACTTATGACCACAACTGAGCCCAAAATTTCTGTTGCTAAGTGGTTAAGTGAATTTTGTCCCATTTGACAACCTTTCTTGCCACAATTGTTAAATGAATTACTGTAGTTGTTAAATTAGTAACACAATTAAGTGAATCTGGCTTCCCCATTGACTTTGCTTGTCAGAAGATCGTAAAATGGGATCACGTGACCCCGGGATACTGCAACCGTCGTAAATATGAGTCAGTTGCCAGGTGTCTGAATTTTGATTACGTGCCAATGGACATGGACAGTTCATTTTGCGACCATTCAAAGTTACAGCAGCCCTGAAAAAAATGATTTATACTGTTTTTCACACTTACCACCATTTATACAGTTTTTCTAACCTACGACCGTTGCAGCATCCCCAGGGTCATGTGATCAAAATTCAGACACTTGGCAACTGACTCATATTTATGACCGTTGCTGTGTCTGGGCTCATATGATCGGCTTTTGCGACCTTCTGACAAGCAAAGTCAATGGAGAAGCCAGATCCACTTAACAACCACGTTACTAACTCCAAAACTGTGATGATTCCCTTAACAACTGTGGCAAGAAAGGTTGTAAAATGGGCAGGTTGTTTCACTGTCAGGAAGTTTCTCCTTAGTTCTAGGTTGCTTCTCTCCTTGATTAGTTTCCATCCGTTGCTTCTTGTCCTGCCTTCAGGCGCTTTGGAGAATAGCTTGACTCCCTCTTCTTTGTGGCAGCCCCTGAGATATTGGAAGACTGCTATCATGTCCCCCCTCGTCCTTCTCTTCATTAAACTAGACATACCCAATTC